TCGGGGTGGCGTGGCAGCTCAGAGAGCCCAGTAGGGGGGTGGTAGTCTGTGAACACTGAATGGGAGTGGAGGGAGAGGTCAGAGAGCACAGAATGGGAGTGGTAGTCTGAGAACACGGAATGGGGGTGGCGGGGGAGGTCAGAGAGCACAGAATGGGGGTGGTAGTCTGAGAACACGGAATGGGGGTGGCGGGGGAGGTCAGAGAGCACAGAATGAGGGTGGTGGGGCATGTCAGAGAGCACAGAAAAGGGATGGTACAGGAAATCAGAGAGTACAAAATGGAGGTGGTGCGGGTGGTCAGAACACAAAATTGAGGCAGGGATGGGTGTCAGATAGCACAAAATGGGGGGGTCAGCGGAGGCCAAAGAGCCCAGAAAGACAGTAATGGGGGAGGCTAGTGAATCCAGGATGGTGGTGGGGGAGGTCACAGAATGGTAATAAGGATGTGGGGGGGGGATGGGGTGGTCAGAGTGCAAATAACGTTGAAGGTGGGCCCAAATGACAGCACAATGGAGGAGAGGGGCAAAAGGAGAACAGAAAACTGTGGTCAGGGCAAGGGGGAGGTGGAATTGGCAGCTGCCTTATCTGAAGGAATTACAAAGGGGGCTGGTTCTTACCAAGGTCAATACTGTCCCTTCCCTCCCCCCAAGCAGTACCATTCAGAATAAGGCACCAGAAGTTCTACCCTTTTGCCAAAGAGAGAAGGCCCCAGTCCAAGAGAAACCTGTTTTTAGTAGCAGAGGCCCAAGGTGCAGGCTGGAAAAAAGAGTGAGCTATCACTTCCCCAGGGGGTATTTGCTGGGGGTGGGTGCACTTTAGTTGGCCTTGCGCAGATGGTAGAAGCTCTTCACGGTGCGCTCTACAGCATGGTCCAAGGTGACCAGTGGCTGGTAGCCCAACAGCTTCTTGGCTCGCTCACAGCTGTAATAGTGGTACGTGCCAGCCAGTGCCACTCGCATGGGTGTGAAGGTAGCCTTGACCTTGATGAGAGGACTGATCACCATGATCACCAGAGACAAGAAGAAGGCCAGGTAGTAAGCCAACCAGTAAGGGATGTGGTATTTCGGAGCCTCGTAGTTCAGGCCTGTTAGAATACGGGACAGGAAGGCCCAGAAAGGGACCGGCTCATCATTGGTGATGTGAATAGCCTGGAGAGGGAAAGAGAGAGGAAGAGAGACACAGAGAGAGAGAGAGAGAGAGAGAGAGATTAAGAGAAAGCAATACAGATGGCAGCTAGGACCAACAATTCCAATGGATTCCAGGTTCACCCAGAACTGCTTCTGCTTTAGATCACAAAACACTGTCAACAGTGTGAGGATCCTCTCTGAATGGCTACCCATCCCCAAATTCTCCATACCCCAATGCAGGCAACTTGCTTGAGAGAGGGGCCTCTGTAAGCCCAAGGCTGTCACATGAACCTTTTGGAACGAGAGTACTTACCTGTCCGCATAAGCCGGAGTCTGAGGAAAGGTGTTCTGCAGCCAAGATGTGGCCATGGACCACGTTTTCCACAAAGGTGAAATCCACTAAATTCTTCCCATTCCTGCAGGGATAAAAGGAGAAGCTTGACTTTGTATCTGGAACAGGGAACTTAAATTCAGGCCTTGAGGTGACTTTGAAGTGAGGGCCTATCAAAAGTGGGGCTGCTTTTCAGGCTCCTGGAGATGCTGCTGGATTTCTTTCCAGCAGCCCAAGGTAAGCCAAAGCTAAGGGTCTCCAGAGGCACTCCAACAAGACAGCCTGCCCAGCTGTTCTTGTAGTCCTACTGTGCTTAACTTTCTTTGTACTCTCTACTTTGAAGGAAAAGCCCCTCTCTGACATATCCCTTCCCAGACCCTGGGGGTGAAGCTGAATGGATGTTTTGCTCTTCCTTATTCCTCCCCTCCTCCCCCGCTCCCCATCAACTCTTCCTGATCCTGCAGAGAGATAGGGTGTGGCACAACATAGAGCAAGACCTAAGTTCACATCCAGCCTCAGACACTTCTTAGCTGTGTGACCCTGGGCAAGTCACTGAACCTCTGTCTCAGTTTCCTCATCTGTAAAATGGGGATAATAACAGCACCTACCTCCCAGGGTTGTCATGAGGATCAAATGAGATAATATTTGTATAGTGCTTAGCACAGGGCCTGGCACATAGTAGGTGCTTAAGACCTGCTTGTTTCCTTCTTTTCCTGTTCCCCAAATCAAGAGATGGAGCACCCGAGAGGGATAGCAATCTAAACTGGTGAAAAGAGGAGGAGGCACAGGGAGAAGACAGAGGGCTAGGGTGGAAAGAATTCAACAGAAGAAGTCAAAGGTTGGCCTCGCAGCATTAGATGTAATTGGGAGGAAAAGAAACCCACCCCCCCAAACTGGAAACAGCTGAAACATCTAACAATAGGAGAATGGTTAAATAAGTTGTCATACATTCATGCAAGGGAATACAATAAAGTAATTAAGTCAGACAAGTGTGTGGAATACAAAGAAATCTGGAGAGACTTTTATGAAATAATACAGAGCAAAAAAAAAAAAAAAAAAAAAAGGCAGGAGAAAGGAGTCAACTCGAACTGGGCCAAGGGAGAAAAAGTGAATGAGAATGAACAGACAAAGGATCCCGATGGGGACTGAAGGAAGGGACGGGGATTCATTGAAATGGAAATAGCTCCAGTTCAGCTGCTAGCATTACAGTCAGGCCTCAGTTTCTTTATCTGAAAAATGTGGGGGTTGGACTATATGACCTCCAAGGTCCCTATCAGGTCCAAAGCTGTGAGCCTACGTTCAATGTGAAGTTTTTAATAAAGCATTCAAAAAAGACACCCCCCCCCAAAAAAAAACCCCAGCCAGAGCTAAGAAGAGAAGGGAGGGTGGGGAATTTCAAAGATCTGTAATTTACAGACTTTTGGAAGTTTTGCCTATCCCTCCATGAAAATGGGCCTGTTCTCTGTGGGGGTGTACCAAACATGGTAGGCAGTGGCAAGGCTGGGGTGGGTGATATCAAAGCCCCTCTTCTGTTCTGATATCCTCTGATTCTAAGGACTGTGCATCTGTTGAGCCAGGTTCTTGGGGTGGGTTTTTTTGGGGGGGGTAAGGGGGTCCAGTGGTGATTTATTCTCATCAGTGACAATAGCACCATGATCACATTTGGATGCCACCCCCTCAGTCAGTACCTAGGGTGCTATATGAAGAAGCAGCAATACACACAAAATAAATTTCTCCTGGAAACAAGACAATTTTAAAAGCCCTCAAGGTTCTATTTTCAAAATATTTCCAAGAGGGTAAGATTCCTAGAGAATGGAGAAGATCACATATGATTAGCAAAGAACTTTTAGCAACAACGAAAAAAGGTAACTAAGAATATATCACAACTTTTGACACACCAAGCTATAAAATCTTTAGGAGAATCATTTAGGAAAGTACTGAGAGGTCATAAAACATGAGAAAGGAATACACAGACTTTCTCTTAAAAAGAAACAAAAAAAACCCAAACCAAATCCACAAAAAAAAAACAAAACAAAAAACCAACAAACACACACCAAAGACCCAAACCACTGCCCCTCCCCCCCAAAACCAAACAACTATTAAAGTTGTTTTTCTTTTAAATTAGCGTGCATTTAGTAGCTACCTTTATAGCAGGCCTTCCTCAGTGTATCACATGCAAAGGGATGCTTTGGATGATCAAATCAACGGGCCCCTTGCTCTCTTCTTCTTTTTCTATATTACTTATGCCTCCTAGGAGAGGCAGTGTTACCAGAGCAAATTAAGCACTGGCCTTGGAGTCAGGAAGACTTGGCTTGGAATCCTGCATCAGACACTTCCTAACTGCGTGATTCCAAGCCAGTCACGTTACCTCTCAGAGACCTGCTTTGGCCTCATTGGTGACAGCAAGATAACAAAGGACCAACCGGGTTGATTGAGGGACCGGATGAGAGGTCATTAGGCAATGAAAAATTTGTGGCAACTTTATTATTTAGTTATTTGTTATTCTTTATTTCAAATGTCAACTTTTATTATCCTGGGTTCCGGTACATGTAACAGATTCTAGTCTGGGCTCCTTTCCTTAGGAGCTGCAGGACTTTGAGCCTGTCACTTAAGTTTCCTAAGTTTACCCATCTGTAAAATGGGCATACTTGACTGTGCCCTAGCTATCTCACAGGGTTTTGATGAGGATTAAATACAATAATGCTGTGAAAGCACACTAAAAATTACAAAGTGTTCTGTAAGGGAAGAAAAGTGGTAGGGAGGGCAGCAAGTAGAGGTAGCAGTGATGAGGAAATATGGCGGAAGAAGCAGCCACTAAGCTTACCCAATCATAAACTTCATTCTGCCACTCCTGGCTGCCTCAACAAGGATGGGGACCAGCTGCTGGTCTCTTGGGCCAAAGATGCCATGAGGGCGGATTGCTGTGGTTAAGAAATTACTGCTGGGTTCATTGGCATTCAGCACCTCCTGGGAAAGCAAAGCAAAACATCAGAAGGCATTGACAAGGCTTAGGCTCGGTCCGCAGATCTGAAAAACTGTCAGCATCTAGCCACCATGGAAGGAGGAAGAGGCAGGCAAAAAGGCTGAAGCAGCACTGAGAGTCACCTGCAAGTCCCAAGTCAGGGAGGACAGGAGCACAAATGGGTAGAAACCAACCAGGGGAACGGTAGGTTGGGTGCTTTGGGTTCTAAAGACAGAAAAGAATCTGGGGTTCAGGTGGCCACTCGGTTGGCTCCCCAAGTCAACAATGAGGAATGGCTGCCAAACACAGGGATTTAGGACTAGTATAAATAAAGCATCCAGGCCGAGGGAAGTTCTCATTCCCCAGGTTAGAGTTTGAAAGGGATGTCAGAGAACCCTTGACAACCTGAAGGGAAAAACCAGGCAGTCTCTGGTGCCCTTGCCCTCCCCACCCCCACCCCGCCCCAGGATATTTACAAAACTACGAGAAGCTGACCCATAGCTGAAGTTTCCTTATGTTTCACAGATATCGAAGTCTTCCCTAAGTGGAGCATTTTCTGATTCAAAGAACAGGTAAAGCAGTATCACATCACATCACAGAGTGTGTCAGACTTAATGCCTGAGGACCTGGGTTCAAATCCTGCCTCTGCCACTTATGCCCAAGTGAAACATGTCTGGGCCTCAGTTTCCTCCTCTGTAAAATTAGGCAGCTGGATAAACAAGCTCAAAGGTCCCATCTAGCTCTAAATCCATGATCCCATTAAAGTCATCAGAGATTCCGGGCTACTTTGTACTTCAGCATTTACTTATCAGCTAGCCAGGCGACAAAGAAAGCAGGGCCAAAAAGGGCCCAGTTATTGTTCCTAAAAGAAATACAGCAGTCCACACCATGAGAATACAAGCAGTGGTTGTCAGCCCACACACTCCCTCACTCATACATACATCCATTCTTTCACCCTTTCCAAAGCAGGCCTTAACTGTTTTTGTGTGTGTCCTGGACCCCTCTGGCTGTCTGGTGAAGCCCCTTGACCCCTTTGAAATGCATCACATAAAACGCACAGACTTACAGAGGAAGCAATTACCCTGAAATGCAGTTATCAAAAACAAAACCCAAAAGCCCCAAGTTAAGAAGCCCTGCTCTAAAGGGAGGGCCAGGAGTAAATGCATCTTGGCCTCCAGACAGTCCTAAATAGAGAATCCTGGCTCCACCACCGTCACCGAACTAGCTGTGTGACTCTGGACAGCTTCCTGGACCTCTCTGGACCTCAGCGTCCTCTTTGGAGGAATGAGGGGATTGGACCAGATGCCCACCTCTGACCTCCTTCTAGCTCAAATCTACGCTCCTGTGGACACTACCCTTGAAAAATCACCAGCTCTCCAAGTCAGCAAGTTCCCTGTCACCAATCTTACAGAACGTCTGCCCTGTCCCCCTCCCCATCCCATGCCACCCCCCATCTTGGCTGTGAGTGGCAGATTTGATTGGGCTTTCTCAAACCCATTCTGCCAAATGGAAGCCCTAGGAGATCCTGTGAGTTGGGCATGACTTCTACTCAGCAGCATCGAGCAACATACAGAAACAAACAGGGGCCCCTCTTTCAACCCCATGGAAAAATGGGGCCCTACTAAATTTCCAATCCTTTGGCACCACCCTCATTTTTCAACAGGTTTCTGAGTCTTGTCGACAGAGGGGCGGAGCAACTCAGCTAAAGGGGCAATGTGTGCTCAAGCGTGCTCTCGATCTGGGGCACCTAGAGGGGCAGCCTCTGTGCCTGACTGCCCCAGTCAGCCCAGCCAGGCCTAGCTCTTATTTATTCCCTTTGGGAGGCTGGCCTGTCAAGTTTGCAAGTGGCTTTTTAAAAAATAAAGAGTAGAGCAAGAACCTGCTTTTCAAAATAGTACAAAGATTTTTGGGAAACTAGGAAAGGTAATTAAGTTCAAAACCGGCTGCTTACGATGACTTCACCGTCTCAAGCTGCCAGCTCCTGCTTTTGGGGAAATGTTTTATTGATACTCTTTCCCTACCTCCTGGTGACTTCCTGATGATTTGTTTCCTCCCAACCCTCTCCCGCAACCAAATCCTCCCCACTCCTAACAAAGACCAACAAGCAAGCAAAACAAATCAGCCAAGCAAGCACGGGCCAGTCCATCAGGGCTCGCCCCCACATCGGCCCCACTAGCCCATCACCTCTCTCCCTATGGGATTTCCCTTAGGAACCAAGTAAACAACTTACACGTGTTCCACATACAACTGATTTTACATTTCTTAGAGGGAGGTAGCAGTACTTGGGGGTGAGAAGTTTTACCCTGAAATCCAGAGAGCTCTAGCCCGATAACCGTCAGAGAGACTTCTCGACCAGATTAAACCTGAAGACCCCAGCCAAGCCGGGGCTTGAGCTGCTTTAAGGGGCCCTTTCTGGTGGCTCGATAGAGGGTACATACTCTCTCCTGCAAGATCTTGGTCTCAGTGTAGTAGTCGATGGGTTTCATGGCATACGGGAGGTCCTCAGTCCCATTCTTGATGTCGACGCCCTCAAAGACGACACTGGCGCTGCTGGTTAAAATGAATTTCTGCCAAGACAGAGAAGATGCTTTTTGACTGAATGAACCAGGAGTGATTCCTCCTGGAAAATTCCCATCTCCTCACTGCTTGCTCCTATAGGGCCCCAATGCTTGCCCTGGAGGCTCGAGCTCTCTTTTCACTGTGTCCCCCACCCACACACAAAGGAAACAAACCAAATGGGCAGCTGAAAGGGAACTCGTTCACCTCTAACTACATTTTGCAGATCTGTGGATTCCAGGCCCCGATCTCAGACAAGACACTCTGCCTGATTTCCCCACCTTCTAGCCTTCTGTCAATTCCACTCCCCCAGAGGTCAGCACAGTCTGCACCCACACAATGTAGCATTTCATTAGAGGTCGTCCTGTCCTGTTCTCTAATTGTTTCATGTGCCTGAGCTTTGCCTTCTCAAGCAGACTGTAATGTCCCTGCTCTTAAGAGCCAAGCCTTCTCTCGATCTCTCTCTCTCTCTCTCTCTCGCTCTGTCTCTCTCTCTCTCTCTCTCGCTCTGTCTCTCTCTCTTTCTCGCTCTCCTGTCACTGCTGCACCCCCTCCCCCGCAGTTCCCCCCTCCCCTCCTGCTCTGAGTACAGAGCAGGGGCCCGGAGTGGGCACTTAATAAACACTTGTGGGCTGGTTAATGGATACACAAGCTGCCATTAAAGGTAGAACTGCAAATCCCCCGCCCACGCTCCTTGCTGGCTCCAATCCTTTTTATTTTTTTATTTTTTTATTTTTTTTTGCTTTAAGTCCATGAAGAGGGATGGCAGTCCAGAGTCCATAGATTTTAAGCTAGAAGGGACCTCTGAGGCTATATGCTTTAGCTTTCTGATTTTACAAAGAGGAAAACTGAGGCTGAGAGAGTGTGACTGACCCAAAGTCACATAGGAAATAGCACACTTGGATCTTCTGGTTCCAAATAACAGCACTTTTTAGTCTCTTTTTAAACCCTAAGACAGTCAGAGTTTCTAGGGTTCCACCATTCTCCCCTCTTCATTGGGGTGCTCAATGGTTTTCCAGTTGGACAGAGTGTCTGGGCTTTGAGGGCTGGACCTTTGCAAAGTAGAGACACCCAAAGGGGCCGATCGGAAGCAGGCTCTCTTGCCATAAGGCCATTCACCAAGGGATGCTGGTGGGTGGCCATGGGGACTTAGTCCTCATGAGCAGGGACTATTTCATTCTTCTTACCTGTATCCCCAGTACCTAGTATAGAGCCTGGCACATTGCAGATGCTCACTAAATACTTGTGTGGTTGATTTGGAAACATCTGGGTGCATAAGAACAGGAGCTGAAACCGACCAGCTTAGTTCAAGGTATTGGATTGGGGGCAGAGGGTTTATGGAGAGGTGGAGGGAGGCATAGGCACATATAGAAATGCACAGTAGGACAAGACTGGATAATGGCAGACCTTGGTGGGAACTTAAGAGAATGGGAAAGAAAGTAGTGTGAACAGAGGCTGGGAAGATTCTTTGAAGCCAGATAAAGCCTTGGAGCCTTGAAGGCCAGTCTATCCTTTGTTTGGGTGGCAAGGGACAGGAAAAGAAATTTTTCTTTTATCAGGCAGGTGAACATTCCTGTGTATTGGTAGGATTACACTGCCATCTTAGCACAGTGCCTGGCACATAGTATGGGTACTTAATAAATGTGCAATGATTGACTGATCTGTGTGACTGAGGGAAGGAAAGGGGTGAGTCTGGTGGTAAATAGACAAGTTAAGAGGATATCACACTAGTCCAGGCAGGAGGTGGTGAGGGCCTGAGTTCTGGCTTTACTGTTCTATCTGTATGACCTTGGGCAGGTCAGTTCCCCTTTCTGTGCCTCAGTTTCCTTCCTTGTAAAAGGAGAGAATTGGACTAGAGGGCCTCGGAGGTCCCTTCCAGGTCCAAATCTATGATCCTACAAGCAATCCAATAACCATTTATTAAATTCCTACTATGTCTCAACAAGCCTTTATTAAGGACCTACTATGTGCCAGGCATTGGGCTAAGTGCTAGAGTACACCACTACAATATGTTCTTGTGTTAAGGTACGGAGGGGACCACACAAGGTTGAGATGAGATCAGACACAGTCTTCTTTTGGAGCTCACAGACTGATCTCACACACACACACACACACACACACACACACACACACACACACACACACACACACACACACACACA